ATTGATTATAATAGTTTATAAAAAATAATCAAATAAATATTAGGATTATATATAAATCTTTTCGATAAGAATTAGATATCATTATAAATTTCGATATAAATATAATATCCCTATTTTTCGATATAATCAATTATATTATAAAAATAAATAAATTCTATCTAAATTTAAAAGCTTTATATAATTATATAATCAAATTGTATAAACATTTTACTTTTATAAAAGAACTATTATTTTATAACAATTACCTATATATTCTGGATATTGAAAATTTATAAATTTATTTAATTTACAAAACCTATAATTTAGTTTTTATTATATATTCTAATATAAAGAAAACCTATTTTCTCTTAACTAAATAATATTATTGAAAAAATATAATTTTTATAATTAATCAATATATACAAAATTATTATAAATACAAATATAACTTCATTTTTAAAGATTATATTCTCAATCTACTTTATCTACTTCCTGTTTTTATAAAAATATAATAATATATTATTATAGATTATTATAATTTTAATAAAAATAAATATAATTACAACAATATATTTGTTATTATTAATTAATTAGCTAAATAGACTATTTCAATATTCTATTATAAATCAATTGATTTAAAAAATCAAACTTACTTATATCTATATCATATATATAAATATTACAATATTCCAAAGTTTATAATTTCTAATTACAATTCTCAATTTATATTAACCTTCTAATAAGAATTCAATAATATCTTAGAAATACAAATTAAGCTATTTATCACTTATTATCTACAAATTGATAATTAGATTAAGATTTATAATCAATATCTTTAATAATATTTATAATCCTTTATAAATTATTATCAAAATAATTAATTTAAATTCCTATTAATAATAAATTATATTCAACTTATATTTCCTTATAAATTATTAAATAATTAATCTCTATACAAAACTTTATATAATCATTCATTCTATAATCCCTAAAATTAGAAACTCGACTTTATTATATTTATTAATAATTTGAATATAATTGATATTAAAAAGTATATTAAATATAATAAATTAATATTCAATTAAGTAAAAAAGAATATCTTGTATATATAAAAAAAGATATTTCAATTAATTAATTCATATTACTATTTAATCGATTTTGATATAAAAGATTATATATAACTTAATATAAAGAACTTTCCAATATAACAACCTTTAAAAAAACTGAATTATTCAATCCAGAATAGATTCAAGATTATTAATTAAACTAAAGATTCCTTTTAATTGGATTTATTATTTATTATAAAAGTTTATTCTGTATTTCTATTTAATAAACTTTACAAAATAATAGATAATCTATTTTCTGAATAAATTATTGAAATGTTACCTCTAATAAATATTATTAATAATATTGAATAAAAAATAGAATATATTCTAATTGTTAAAAAAATATACTAATAACTTAAATACAAAATATTATAACTAAATATTAATAACAATTTTATTTAATATCCTGTTTTCGATTTTAAAAATACTTTATATTTTTTTTACAATTTCCATTTGTGAAATCCCTTTTTGCTAAAATCTCCTATATATTTATTTAAATAGATTTATTTTTATAAAAATAAAAAGAATAATTATAATTTTATAAATAATAATTAATACATAAATAAGAAAAATTAAAAGAACTTTTTTTATATATCAAAGTAATAAAGAAATTATAATTTTATAAATAATAGAAAAACAATTAAATAAAAACTGAATTATTAAAATAATATAATAAAGAATATCTTTTTTCTATTTTGATAATTTTAAAGCAAGTTAAAGAGGAAATCCTTATAGGCATCAATAATTATAATTGAATAAGGTATGAAAATAAAGATTGAATAATTTAAACTGAAATATTAGCTAAGTTTCTAATTAATAATAATAATAAGAATATATAGGATAATTATAAGCCAAAAGATAAGATAATTTTTAATTGTAGTATATATGATAATAAAATCAAGTTTATATTTAATTACTTATAATTGTTTACAAATTATTAAAAGCTCTGTTTTTATTTGTATTATAATAAATTAGTGTTATTATTCCAATTTGTTTTTTATATTATAGCTTTAATTATATAATGTTTTATATTCTTTTGAATAAAAATAATAGAAAGTATTTCTTTTGAAATATAATTTCTTAATTCCTTTTATAAATCAAATTATTAAAAAAGAATTAATTTTATTAAAAATCAATAAAGTTATAATTTATCTTTATTATATTATTATATTTAATAATAACTATTTAATGTTAAAAATTTTTTTATAAATCTTTTTAAAAAACAAATATTTATATTTATATTTATTAATGAAATAAAGTAGGTAATAAGTTTGATTAAATAATTAATTAGAAATTTGATAGTATATATTATCCCTTTTATTGGAAATACAGTTATATATATAGTTCATATAAATTCAATTGTTTTTCTAAATATATTATTTCTATTATAATATTGTTTTTTTTAATAATCTTTATTTAAAGATTTTAGTTTGTTAATATTAATAAAATTAATACTTTTATAATAAAGTATATCGAATTTATAATTAAATTAATTTCAATATAAAGCTTTTATAATTTCTTTTTTAATAATTTTGTATCTATTATTTTCAATATTATTAAAGTAATGTATTATTATAATCAATTTATTAATAAACTTCTTTTTGTAATTATTAATATAATTAATTAAAGAATTATATTCTTTTTTTAAATTCTATTAGAAAATATAATAAAATAGATATATTTAATAAGTAAATCGAAGATTGATTTTATCCTTAAAGTTATTATCTACAATAATTATAATTGTATTTGTTAGATAAGCCAATTATATATTGAAAACGGATAAATAAAAAATCTTATTTATATTTTTTATTAAAATTATAATTACTTTTATAACAGAATTTCTCTTCCTTGAACTCTTTCTCTTCGATAAGCTACTTACTTTATATAATAGAAAAAACAATTACTCTCTTTTTTACAAACTAAATAGAAAAATAAGTTAATAAAACAAATATAGAAAAAACTATAAATAATTTACTACCATATATATGTTTTTTTACTACTGAATCTGTATCAATAATAATTTGTTTTTACTATTACATCTTTTTCTTAAAGTTGAAAATATATTGATTAAAAGATATAAAAAAATCGATTAATTAAAAAAAGATTTAAAAAAAAAGAAAGATTTGATTAATCTATATATTTCAAAGGATTTAATTAATTATTAGATTATAAAATGATTTTCTTTATTTCGTATATACCTTTTTATTATAAAAAAAATCTATATATATACTTGTTTATTATATTGTTATAATTAAATAATAATAATATTATTTTGTAATTGTTGATTTAATAATTAAAATAAATAATTATAAAGTTTGAGGGTAAGTTTTTTTGAAAGGGAGGATAATATTATAGATTAGTATTCAATTATAGTTGTAATTGCTTATATATATATATATGTATATATATAATTATATATATATATAATTGATATATAAATATATTTAATAAATACTTTACTTCTGATTTTGTAATTATAGATTTTAAGAATAAATTGTACCCTGCTCTTGCAGTTCTTTTAAGGCAAAGCGTTACAGAAGGGGGGTAATATTATAATATAAATATATATAATTAATAAGCAATAAGCTAGATTTTGTTAGATTAATTTATAAATAAAAACTCTGTATATTTTTATATTGAAAGATTTTATATTATAACTCTTTAAACTATATTTTAATCTACATTTTGTATCTATTATTCTTAGTACTATTAAATATAGATTCCTGATTTTGTCTACCTACTCTATAACATTCCTTTTATTTTATTATTCAATCGATTTTTGTTTTAATAATTTTAAATTTTGAAGAATCAAAATGAATAATATCATTAAATTTTAGAACTAAATTTTATCTTATTCTAATGATTTTTGAATTTTAAATTGATTTTTATTTTGATTGAAAAAAACGTGCATATAGTAGGGGCGTGCACGTAGCAGGGATATCGGTTAGTTGTTGAATTGCTGTTTCGACTTATATGCAATCACTTCTAGTAATCATTTGGGTGCGAGTCTATTGATTTCTCATGCTAGTCACATGACTTTTGGCCTTTTTGATGCTCAATTTGTTAATGCCACCCCAAGATGAAATCATCATTTCACCTGTGACTCTATCTTCAAAAAGGGCCTTAAAAACAAATTGTATGAATGCCTCGCCCTTTTCTAATGAGCAGCAGTATTGAACTTCCAATAAACTTCACTGCCAAGTGAAGACTGATATAATCCCGGGATGAAACTGTGGTGGTAAATAAAGATTTCAAGCTCTCAAACCGTTAAGATTCAAAACGAAAATTGATAGAACTAAACATCCAAACTCACTGAAATTTCCCCGTCCCCTCCCACTTTATGTAAGCATTTATGTTATCATTGTCTGACACATCATCTCCCATCTTCTATACATGTTGTCTAGAGCGTCTATGAAAATGGTAGATCAGTGGTCAATCCAGACCTTCCGGTTTTGATATGCAGGGGGTTCCTAGATTTATTGATCTACAACAAACCCCTCGATTTCGCTATCTGGGGTGTGGATCTTTGGTGATGACTCAACATACCTATGAATAGTAGAAGATATTTCGTATGAAAGAGCTATTTGATATATGTACGTATTTTTTGTAAGAATTGTGTTTAGCTGTTGGAATTTCTTTCCGAACAATTGCTTTAGTATTTGTTCTGAGGATTGGCGTCCTTGTGTGTCCATTCCGTACATACTCACTGGCCAGCTCTTCGATCATTGAATATCGTCTGCTATATCTCACTCAAGTGATATCAGGACATAATCTACTTGATCTCGTGAGTTTCTCATCGGAAAGTGATAGCGAGATACTGACAATTCCAGATGACCCAACGGAGACACAAGGAGCGACAATACTGCAAACTCCCAACTGCCCTCCTAAGAAATTACCGAGAATAAAAGGGGTGCAATGACCACATCAATTTCCTCCTCCTCGTCCGAGGAACTCAAATTCTATATCCACCCCCAAGAAACCATCTCCGAAACTCTAATTCCAAGTCTCTACGAACATCTCCCATACAGTAATCCCATATACAGTCGAATGCTCGCTCCCCACAACACACCTTCCAGACACTGCCTCTTCGCCGCCACATTTCCTCCACACTCTCCCATTCCCGAGCTCTACACCATCCTCTTCTCCGATCGATCCCGCAAAACCGAATCTCAGATCTGGGTCTTCAATCCTCTGATCACGCCTTCCTACGCACAGCCTCTCTCCAATGAACATGCATCTCTTCTCTCCACACATCTCAAACACGCCCTCGTGTTCTTGAAAAATACCGAAATCCCCCAAGCTCCCGGATTCCCTTTCGACCCCATCCTCAAATTCGCATGTTTGCATGAAGTCATCACAAACTCTCTTACATCTCTCTCATCCCAAACATCAACATCAACATCAACATCGATATCCGCACCACTAATCCCCTACCACACTCGCTGGAATCTCTACCTCATCCGCACAGCACCCACCCCCAATCACCCAGCACTCCCACCCCCAGTCTCCCTCACCACCTCCCGCGTCCCAGCCTCCTACCTCAACCTCGTAATCTCCACCTCTGCCATCCCCCGCGAACGGTCCACGCTCCTCGCACAACCTTCCCTCTGTCTCCTCACCCCGGAGTCCGAAATGGTCGCATGGGCTTTCATAGGTATTGACGGCATGCTCGCAACCCTCTACGTTCTTCCTTCTCACCGTGGTCTCAGTCTCGCTACTTATGTTGCCCGCGAACTTATTCGTCGTTTCGGGCTGGGAGAATTTGCGGATTTGGGTTTTAGTGGGTCAAGTGGCTTGGTACATTCGGATGTCAAGGAAGGGAATGCAGGAAGTGAGGGGGTGATGAAGGCGTTGGGAGGAAAGAGGAGTTGGGAGAGTAGTTATCTTTCGGTTGATTGCGCGGTGGTGGATGAGGTTTGTGGATGATCTATGGACGGGTGGATAGAGTTTTGATTTGTTGGAGGGGTATTCAATTTTAGTGGTTCAGGTCTGACGTTCAAGGGAATGAAATAATTGAAGTACAAAAGTAATGGAATCCTTTAATTGTACCAAAAAAGTCAATTATTGTATGGTTCATAATATTGATCTCTAGCTCTGCTAGGGTCAAATTGATTGCGAATATATACTTGGCATTCAAAGTTCTTCTCTCATCAAATCATCAACAAATCTCATAGATCGTGCATATCATTAAACGTCATGTCTCTCTCCCATTCACCCCGAACATGATTTCCAGCCAAAACAGTATATGCAAATAACCCAAACAAAAACACAATGCTGCCTATGTTTTGACCTGTCATTAAACCCCAGCAATCCCATCCTCCAAAACCCTCACATACGGCGCAGGAAACAATCCCTTGGCGCCCATATAGCATCCCCAAAACCAATCCCCATTGACATCCTTACATTCCCTTACCTCCGCCCCCTTTGGAAACATTAATTCATCACTCGCACCTTCCGCAGGCCACCAACTCCAAATTGCTAAACTTGACATCCCAATTCCGCCATCAGGTGGGAACGATCTTTCAATCGTTAGCCCAGGGACTGATGTCGGCGCAACTTTCGATGGATCCGTGGTGACGAGTCGAACGAAAGTATCATTATCTTGACTCCAGCTCCATTTCTGTAGCTCGGGTGCAGTATGATCGGCTGAGGGGTAAAGCATGGGTTCGATATCAAGACTATGACCTCCAACTAGATCCTGAACTATTACTCTACGTTGGCCCCCGCGGTCATCTTCAAATCCTACAATAACCATTCGGTGACCTTGTAAGCAACGCCGCCACCCATTGTGACCGTTCTCGACACTGATCCGACGAGATGTGACGAGTTTGGGATAGCAGGTTGTGCAGATATCGTAATCTCCAGGCTGAGTGTCTGGGACAGCACTAGTACATGAGTAGCAATGATAGCGAGTGGATGAAGGTTGGATGGGATATCGACAGATATCACAGTTGGTTGAGAAGGTGAGAGGTTTAAAGTTACCCACGTCTACAACGCCGGGTCCTTGGAGAATAGTTGCCGATTGTGGAAGTTGTTGATCATGCATCGGAGATAAGGGAGGCGTATATGATTCCGATGGTTTATAGGTCAGCGGTAGAAGAGAATGTGTACATGATCTGCCTTGGTTGACGCAGAGATTGCAAAATCCCCAATCACCATGGTTGCAAATATCGCAACGCCAGTAACATTCGTTTGTCCATGCTAAACAACTTGCACAGAATGCACCACTTTGCAGACGTTTCTGGGGATCTTCTGTAGTTAGAGTCTTGCGACCATCCGCGCCGCCAGCAGCCATTTTTGGTGCCAAGTAGCGATTTGCTGTGAGCATATGTGGCCTATCTGCGCCTTGCGGTATTTTTCCCGCTTGCATTTGATTTTCCCAATTTGTCCATGCTGAATAGCCAAATCCAAACCAATGCAGACATCCTGCACCGGAACGATAGCATGAGAGACAGATGTTGTAATTGCCACGCAAGCAAGCTGAGCAATTATAGTGCACTTCATACTCAATATGAGTTTTCTGACATCTTCTACATAATATTGAAGGTTCGGGATAAAGCTGCGTTCGTGGTCTAGATCCCACAGAATGAGAAGAACTTGGTCTGCTACCACTTGCTAGTGCAGCAGCTTTATCGAAGAGTGCTAGATGAGTAGGAGTATGAGGTGAAAGCGGTGCAGGAATCAGTGATTCATCCATGTATGGAACAGATGCAGGAACAGCAGAGGCCACGAAAATATCGGCGGGGGCATTAGCACGAATGCTCAATGGAGCAGGTATATCAGGTATATCAGGTAGTTCAGGCATATCGTCCGAATGAGATCTTTCTAACAAGCTGTTGCTTGATGCTCTTGGTGTCGATTCAGAGGGAGACGCAACGACTGTATTGTTAGATGTTCTTGTAGTGGAGGCTGTTTGTGGTTGTGGTTCCCTACTTGTTGATGATTCACTCAATCGTCGCACATTGGAGTCAGTGCTCCTCCTCGCATGGGCCCTAAAAGGTTGTGATGTTTGCACGGAAGAGGTCCGAGGTATAGTGCTCAAATCTGTCTGCGACCGAGCGGCAGGTCTTGTTTCGGGCGTAACTACCGGTACAGGTGCTGTTGAGCTCCGTGGCGCGCTTAAGGTTCTCTGTCGTCTCCGTCCTCCAGAATTTAGACCAACATCTAAGTGGCTTGCGTGTACGGCACTTATAGACGGCGGAGGTCTGCTTTGCTCATTGCCTAAACTACCCGATCTTGGCGAGGATGATTGATTTCTGCGTCGCCTTGTAGTTCTGGGAGCATCATCACCAGAGGTTTCTCTCCCAGAATCCGTGAGCGAAGCTCGAGGAGACCGTCTTCGTCTGTCCGCCGTATCACTCTCGCTTCTTCTAGATAAATCGGGTCTCGACCTCTCTTCTTGTCGCCGCCTGAAAGCTTCTGCTATTCTCTCACTGATCTGATCCTCCTGATTAACATCGATATTCTCTAGGTCAATTCCGTCCAATAATCCTTCCTCCCTAATTTGTCGTAGAATCTCCTCTTCCATCTCTCTAGAATCTATGTCAGAAGAGCTGATTAGTGACCGTAAAGATGATTGATGTTCGATCTGTCGTGCCGCTGACCGGCTAGTTTCTTCATGTCGCCTTATCGATTCAGTTTCACTATATCCTCTTCGTCGGCCTTCAGAGTCGCTGCGGTCGGGTTCTGGCCTCAACGCAGAGATTCCTTGTCGAGCTCTTCTTCTTTCATGATGCTCTTCCCTTCGCCGCCGTCTATCGGTGTCATCTGTATTCCTATTATCCCTACTATGATCACGGCTCGAATGATGTCTCGAACTATGCGATCTTTCCCCATCTCGTTCTCGTCTCCTTCTTTCCCTCCTTGCCTCTGAACTCTCCACCCCCACTTCTCTCAAGCTTAAATCTCTTACTTCATCCATCAGCCTTCGATCCTCATCCTCCAAGCGTCTCTCCCTCGAACTTCTGTCTCTCTGCTCCCATTTCGGTAACACTTCATCCCCAGCTTTGTATTTCGCAGCAACTTCCTCCTTCTCGTCAGCTGTCCTACCCTTCTCTGGACTTCGCGCCAAAAACATCTCCAGTAACGTCGCTATGGTAGAACTGTGCTTCGTATCTCGAACTGGTGCGCGACATGATGGGCATGTATATGGCGTACCGCCGGGTGGAATGGGTGTTTGTGCATTATTCACGGAGACAAGTTGCCAGGAAAACCATTCTTTGAGACACGAGCCGCAGAAGGTATGTAAACAATCGAGTAATGTTAACGGTTGATATAAAACCTCTGTGCAAATCTATGACCAGTTAAAACCAATACTCTATCCCTCGAGATGCAAATGCGGCTTCAAGCCCAGCCCTATAGAGTTTTGCGGGGTAAGGTCTGTTTTGAGGATTTGGTAACTTTAATAATTCTCGACTTACAGAGCATGTCAACTCCTTCTCAAGGTCGAGACCTCGATTTTCGGAGCCAGAATCCATGATTCTTCCTACGAAGATATGTAGGATGAGGATGAGAGTGGAGTTGCAGAGGAGGATAGGTCATGATTGCGCTGGGCAATGAAGAAAAATGGATTGCTCTGTGGCGCGATACGATACGATGTGATTGAGAGCACGGGATTTGTACCGCTAAGGAAGCAGAATGTCAAATTTCCTTGGATCTAATCTTTAAAAACCTTGTTATTACATTCATGTTTTTTTTTTCATCGATCCCAACCAAATGACTCGACTTTATTATAACTTGACAGGCGTATGTTTGCTTGGAATTCCTGGTGTTGTTCATTTACACACATTTCGTGACTTTTGGAGTTTTCGAATCGGTACATCTCATCTCGTATTCACCGATTCTTGAACCTCACCACAATAAAGACCCTGGGCAAGTATGAGTACGGTTTGTATGCATTGAGCGTCGATGACAATCCATCATTCCGACTGTAAACAGAGAATATACAGCTGGCGGCTAGGAAAAGAATGAAGAGTCCCCATTGATGAGCTGAGATACATGCAACCTGTCAATTACTTTATATTCATCACCGCAAAGGCTTGGAGAAGTACATGCAATGCCTCGTGAGCTTTGGACGATACAGAGTCTCGAGATTTCGATGTTTTTCTTCTATCAAGTGAGAGGTGAGTCTTGGTAGTGGTATCTTTACGTTCATACTCTGGATAGGACGATAGGTAATCTAGATCTTCTTTCATTTGAAAGTGCTCGATCCCTTTTTGAAGAGTAGAGAAATACTTTCGAACAATAATTTCCAAGTATCTCCTACAATTTGATTGATCGAAGCTATGTGCAACAAGGCTGTGTACGGTTGAAGGCTCAGCTGCTGTGCTGTGTGACGAGCGGCATAGATATTCAATGTTCCCCCTCAAGTGTTGGAAATAGACCACTTCTATTACTATGTTTCTGACATGAAGGATCAAACAAGAATGCTACCTTCTATATCACTCCAAACCTCTCCAAAGCAGCAGAAAAATACCAGTGGTTCACCAGTTGCATCATCTTCTCGGAAACTCCCCTCTATGCCGCCCTCATCCACAAGTGTGCAATGTCAAACCCAAGTTCCAACCCAAGTTTCAATGGGACAGCAAACCCCGCAAGCACAGCAGTCAGCCGCAACTAGCAAACAATTTACTCGAGCTGGCTATTTCACTTCGAGGAACCTGATTACACTTGCTTTTCCTTCTTGGATGAACAGTCTTTTGGAAAGAGTCGTCAAGCATCTCATGACTTGGGATGTAGCAACAACCATTGCTGCAGTTGCCATTATAGTTGGTACTGTTATATCATATTTCGCGTTGAAGTTAGCTATTTGGACTGCGACCAAGGACTATATAGAATATTGCCAAGGAGAACAGGTGTGTTTTTCTCAAACCAGGTGGGCCATTGATGTTATTGCCGATTACTGACTTGGAATCGAATTAAAGCCAACTCAAGTAGCAAGTGTGCAATACCAAAAGGTGGCCACCCAAGCGCTACCTCCGCCTCCTTTCTGTCGATATGAAAATGGTACTATATTGCGTCGAACATGGGCCGGGACAATGATTGGAGCCACTGAGTCGAGAACGCAAAATGATTATTATATTTTTGGGTATGCACTTATAACATCTACAACGTTTTATGCTACATGGAAAGCGAAACATTCGAAAATTCTGAAAATCCTAAGAGACTCGAGTGTGCCTGCACAAAATGACGTGGAGCGACAGTGTCAAAACCTCGATCATTACATTAAAGATACATGTTCTACAGACCTAGCTGGACAGCATGCTTTCACAGCGCTTCCCCGAAAAAATTCGAGCTGAAGATCAGGTACAGCCGTAGCCACCATTCAAGGTAATATGGGATCGCGGAAGCCGCGCTAAATAATGATATGGACCACAGGGGAAAATGAGTCGCTCACTGCAAAATTATCAAATAAGTTACATATAGCGAAGCAGCGTGAAAGAAAGCTGAAAGGGCCAATAGTGAAGCAAGAGCAGAATTCCCGGATAGAGCAAATGGCGCTCGAGGACTCGAAGTTTCTCGAAAACATATGAGAAATTGAAACACATCTATAAATGAATCGACTAGAAGCAAAAGGTAGAGATATGCGGGGGAGAATCACGAAGTAGAATAATTATGGCTTCGCATCCACTGTTGTTTTTCATTGAAGCTTCATCGTTCAGAACCATCTTGTAGGATGAATCTACCATGTTAATCGGGATATTAATTACTCTCACACTTTTCTCTTATAGTGATTTCAATTAGAGGCCCTCCGGATCATCGAATAGTCAATACGAGCGGGTTTATGACTCAATGCAAACATACCCCATATCGACAATTTTATTTATTTTATGATTCACAGACGTTGTATACATGAATTCTTTGATGACTCGACGAAAACAAATATCTGAGAGCATCGATCGTGAATACTAACATAAAAAACGATTTCACCACTGCGGAGGAGTATTCACATTGGAGTCAACGCCTCCCTCATGAATCACATACACAGATCATGACGCAGCTATATAAGCTTTCGTCGCCTCTCTTGCCATACCATTTTCCATTTCAACATCAAAAACATCAACACTACATAGAACATCGAAATCATATATTCATCATACATAATCATGACTACCTACGAGGCCGTGCCCAATACAGATGGCCAAATTCTTATACCCGTCAGGAAGAAGCAACCAGTTCTTCCTCAGCCCAATATTCCTCGCACTATCCCCCCATCACAACGACCACAGGGCAAAAAAATATCTGTTCAAAGATTTGGAACTCGACCACGACCACAATCACCGCCGTTTCAAAGACCTGTTTACAGATCCAGGATTCGGACACTGGGAGCTTTGCGACCAGAACAAAGCCAAACCTCAAAACATAATGCAAGTAAAGGACTCGAAGTCCGAAAATCAGTCAATAGAAGAGTTGAGGCTTTTGATTCTTCTGATCGTCATCTGCAAGATTCGAACACCGGTACCTTGGGCTCTCATGCCTCGAATCAGAGTATCATAGTAAACGGTTCAAACTCTGTGAGGCCGAAGGAGGACCCGTTAATAAAAGCAAAGAACGATAAACATGCCAATATAATGAGTCTTTCATACATCATGGAGCAGCAGCCCAGTGCGCAAAAGTTCCAGTCCGCTTCCGACGAAATAGAGGAGAGAGTCATCGATTTGACTGCGTCTTCCCAGAGCGAAGAAGAATACGAATCTGAAGACGAAGGCCAGGAAGAAATGTCACCCATGATCAGGAATAATTCATACATTCACGGCATCCCTAATATTACAAAATCTCGTCATTATATTCTCAATCAAACCAACGCTGCCTCTTTACAAGATTCTCTGCTCAATACACCCGTGAAAGTTGAGGACATTGAACAAGCTGTCAGAAGTTTTGGATTCGGTGGTGCCACAGGAAGATCAAGTACGACACAATTCAGGGCGGGACACAGATTACCACCGATCAAAGAAAGAGGCGCGGGGTATTCTCAGTATCATCCAAACTACATGGCTTCATCACCCTTGACTTTGCCTCGGCCTATTCCAAGGACCACAGCATCGCCCGATCTCAGCACATTGGAACATACGGCTATAACTACACTTGCTAGTCTCAATCGTTTTTTCGACTCGAAAAAGCTGTATTCTAGTGCTACTACTTCAGCCCCAAGCCCGTATTCACCAGCGCCAACCAACGAAAGTGATCAAACTCACAGTCACAGTCTAAAACGCCCCTCGTCCCATATCTCCACCCATTTCCCCACAGAAATTCACCAGTCTACGTTACCTGCATCACCAGAAATGACTGAGCTCGATCCAAAGAAAAAGAGAATACGCATAAGCTCTATTCTGAATCCAACATCTCCTCCAGCGCCCACTTCACCAACGTCCCAAAATCTATCCACAGGCTCTCGCCGTGGCGACACTTCATTCACTCGCGATTTAAGTGAGCTCGCTAGCGATTTCAAGAATGATACCCTGATGCCATCTCTGCCTTCTGACGCCTATCCATCTCCTCCTAAATCGGCATCATTGTCGTCATCCATTCATCCCCCGACTAACCCACGCCCTCCCGTTCCCCGAGATCCAAGTCCAAACGTCTTACTCCCCAAGAAATTCACCGATCCACAATCTCACCTTGATTCATCCAGCGACCGTGCCTACAGATCTCCTGCACCCTCACCACCATCGCTACCTCAATCTGAAATCCATACTCCAGCTCTTACTGGGTCAGCTCCGAGGTCTCTAGATCCAATGAGTACTGATATTAGAAAGCCAAACCCAACTCCACAATCTCAACTCCTTTTCTTTGGCCATCAAGCCTACTCACCTCTACCTGCACGAGCCTCACCTATCACTCGCTCATCTTCACCTCCACGCTCGTCCTCACCCTCATCCACATCCACATCTCCATCCGCATCTACCAAACCCGATTCAAAATCACTCCCGCGCAAAAACTTCGCCTACAGAGCATGGAAAATGCGTCCTTCTCGCTCTATACTCACTGGTCTCTCTGATTCAAACCCCCAACAATACTTAGTCGTGATCCGGAATGACGATCGTTCAAAGACCATTTCAAGTACGGGTGTCTTGGATACAAATGGCAATACGGATAAATGGTGGAGCGTACTTGCAGGAAAAGAGGGTTTGGACGAGATTAGGAAGATTTTCGAATAAAGACGAATGTATGTATGTATTGGGAACGTGGGTGACAACCTGTGGAAGGACTATTTCGTCAATACCTAAAGAGCGCAAGGGGCTCAGAGAATTGGCGGATGATATGGTCTACATTGTGACTTGACAAATTGGAAGAAGGATTTACAGGCGCTTAAGGAGGCAAGGGATTAGGAACTCGGTGGTTTTCATCATCCGCATATGGAATCTAATTGCGTGTAGTTACGCGATCGCATGTTTCACTACTTACTGCATAGAAGTAGTGTAATGCGAATCAGCATAATACCATATTATCGATATCAATTTGCCATCTACCAATGCTGTAACATATTCAGCAAACATGAATTTTCGGTTGAATAGTGAAGATACTCAGGTGGCTGACACTAGTTCTTCATCTAAAGTAGTGACTTATGCAAAAGGTCCAGGAGCAATTGTAACAGTCAAACGTCATTATACTCCCCGGCCTTCTTCTTCGCTTGATCTGCATAAAATTCCGGTGGTTCATTATTTGATTTCTTATTTGCTATAATGGTCTATACTCATTCTCCAGATAAATTTGAGCATTCGTGCGAAATGTCCAGCTCAAGTGTTCTTTTTGAAGCATTTCACTATTGAGTTCCGCCTCGGAATGATACTAATGAATTATCTTGTCTTTTCTGTAGTTGATAGCCGTTCATAGCAATGCAATGCTATGCTAAGCTTTGCTATGGTATATAGTATATCTGCGCGAGATATAAAGAGGGTATTATATAGTACATTTAAAAGTACAGTTTTCAATGACGTAGATTCCGCTACACCATATTTTTCTGCAGATGGCCGAGTGTTTTTTAAATCGTCCATACCATGCTGATCTTCAACCTTGAGCTACCCTTGTCGTTTCTATCTTCAACCTCATGTCCCCAATTCCGTACCGGACACCATTGGAACATCTGGCTGTTCTTCCTTCTTATTTTCCATATCAACATCCTCGTTTTCCGTCGGTGGTAATTTCGCTGCCTCATTTCCCTCTTCAGTTTTCTGTTCCCCACCTTCCAGCGCATCTTCATCGCCAGGGGCGACAAGATCTTCGGGTTTAATATCATCCTTGAAGATTTCGTCAATGCTGTTCGATTTCTCAATTTTGTCAAAAGCAGCAAGTTTGCTTGCACCTGCGATTCGTAGTGCTCTCCAACATTTGCTCGCTTTAGCTTCTATAGCCACATTTTTTGATTCTTCGTCTCGAGCCATATCGATATCCATATCGTCCAGCTCGATTTTATTCTTGAAACTCTTTATGGAAGGAACTTGGTAACGTTCTGGTTTCTTCAACCTCTCCAAGCCACTCTGTAAGTCGCTTTCCGCAAGAAATTTGAGATCTAAAGATCCTAGAGGATTAGGGCGCAATCGTTTATTAGTTGTCGCTTTCCGAGCCGACGCTTTAGCGGTAATATAATCGTGAGGTGAAACAGCTGGTCTAGCAATAGAAGGGCAATTTTCGACCTTCCAACGGACCCAGTTCTTATCTCTGGACAGAACCGTCTCAACCATACGGTAAAAAAAGGCACCATCCGCGCCTTTCTTCAGATATTCTGCAATCGATTTTTTCATATCTAATGACCACTTTGTCTATAAATTGTGAGCTAATACCTACTAAAAGACGCGTCCAGAAAACGGGTTACTTACATCCTCCTCACTAAGCGTCTGGTCTGCATAAGTTACCGATCTATTGAGGTTGTCCGGTAGAGCTTTTGAAAGCTTCTCTTTCGCCTTGGCGCTTAATGAAAGAAGGAAATCCATTATTATCAGAATTTGAACAAGTATATGCCTTCTAAATGACAAATCACTAATCTAGCAATGTTGAGTTAGCATCGTGCTAGAATTTGTGGGTGTTAGATGATAGCATACCTCTAATTCAAACAAGTCCCTACTTGTGAGATACTTAGGATTGAAGGAATTAGCTAGGTCATCGTCTCCCTGACCGCGCTTTCTTTTTGTTCCCCTCTTACTATCCTCTGCTACCCTTGCTGCCGGACGCCCTGCAGTCTCATGGTGTACCGACTTGAAAGTTGCTATTGTAGCTTCCAGACCCTTTTTGAACTCGACAAAATTCTCAGAATTGAACAATCGTTTCGGTTGGCTGAAGCTCTGCTGTAATGACCAGAATA